CCCTTCCGCACAGAGATTTTTCCAGTTTCTCTGAATCTTTTTTTTTTTTAATTATTTTTTATTTTATTTGATAGTTATACAGTGTAGAGAGACTGGAAAGTTGGGGAGAAGAATGGGGGAAGACGTGCAGCAAATGACCCGAGCCGGATTCGAACCCAGGTCGCTGCGGGAAGGACAGAGCCTTCATGGTACGCGCACTTAGACCGATGAGCCACCGGGGTTCCCCCAGTTTCTCTGAATCTTTTGATGATGTTATGCACTGTCGATGATGAGACCTTCAAAGCCTTTGCAATTTGATGTTGAGGAACATTGTTTTGAAAGTATTCCACAATTTTTTTTTTTACGCAAGCCTTCACAGGTTGGAGAGCCTCTGGCCATCTTTACTTCTGAGAGACTCAGCCTCTCTAAGACATCCCTTTTATAGCCAATCATGTTACACACCTGATGCCAGTTTACTTAATTACATGCTAAATGTTCTTTCAGCTGATTCTCTTAAAAATTAATTGCTTTTTCAGCCCTTTTTTGCCTGTGTCCCAACTTTTTTGAGACCTGTTGCAGCCAGAAAATTTGAAATAAGCTCATTTTGTGGATAAAAATATAAAATGTCTCAGTTTCAACATTTGAAATGTTATTATGTTCTATTGTAAATAACATTGGCTCATGATCAGAAAGTCATTACATTTTGATTTTATTCACAATTTACACTTTGTCCCAACTATTTCGGAATTGGGGTTGTATATTTCTCTTATACTCATTTTACTAATACTTTATACTTTTTCTCATTGTAAACTTAACCAATATCACTCCTCACACCTAAACCTAACCAACTCAGCCAACAAAGAAAACAAGTACTAGCCAATCAGATCCAGTGTAGGGCTAGTCATTCCTTCGCTATCCTAGGAAAAATAAATTGTCCCCCGTCAATGGGCTTCTTCCTCCTGGATTTTTTTTTTTTTTTTAGCCATTACTGTTTATTCTCACCGTTTTTTTTTTTTTTCCATACTTCCATACCTTTTTTTCCATACTGGCAATTCGGGCTTCAGGCCTGATATTTACCCATTCTTGCCTTTTAGGGCTCTCTAAAATGTCTTTTGACAGTCTTCTGTTAAAAGCACTTTAGAAATAACATTTGCTTCACATTGGATGGAGGAGGGGACATGACTTCGGTACAAGTGGCATGGGGCTTAGGGAATGGCCGAGGACAGAACAAGACTGAAACCCAGTTGTCCTTTTTAATGCAGGAAGCTAGCTCTTGGAAATATAGGCCTGAATCTCGAATGATCACTATTTTACAGGAAGCTGGACGAAAGCAGTTCTGAAAACAAGGCACCACAACATAAACAGAACAAGCGGATACGGAAGGGGAAATCTCTGAAGAGCCCAGTGAGAATGCAAACCTGTACCTGCTCCACACAACCTCCTAGCAAACACAGAACATTCTTGCAATGTTGCTGCAATGTTTTCATAATGCTCTAATATTGAGCAGAGATATAACATTTTCCCTAAAAACCCTTGACAAAGCTTGTCTCATTACCACTTATTCTGTAGCAAGGGATCTTCATTTGCCAAATGGTAGAATGAGGCGTGCTAAATGTATAGATAGAATGAGAATCTGCAGGATGGCTGGAATAGGGTTAGGAATCATTGGGGTATTTGAAAGCAGCGTTTGGAATAGCTTTTCAACTTTCCTTAACATTTCCCATAATCCTTTGCCTTGGCTCACCCGGCAATTTGAGCCGCAATCACTGACCATTGCTCCCTAATTTTGGTCCCCAGCTAAAGTTGCAATGCCTGATTGTTGAGATGAAGAGGATGTGCAAACTGTGAGTAATTTTTCACCAGCCTATTCAAAGGCCACACTACTGACTTTTTTAGGCCAACATCTTGTTCTGCTGACAATCTTACTTCAGTACTTGAGTTTTCTTTTAATTGAACATTCTCACTCCATATTCGAGGCTTCATTCCTTAGTCATGAATAACCCCATAGAGAGAGAGAGAGCGAGAGAGAGAGACCTTTGATACCCTTTTAATTGAAACAGTAAAAAGCAGCAAATCAAATAACATTCCAGAAACAGTACAACATTACAAAAACTGCACGACAAACATCAAACATTGGAAAGACTTCACATACGGCTGCTCAAAAAATTAATTAATTAATTAATTAATTAAAATTTAACAGCTGAACACACCAAACTGCCTGAAACCCCGTTACCTCATTTTTGAGCTCAGCGTGAGCACACTCCACTCTGAGGCGTGCTTCCACGAACCCCTTGAAAATTGACAGAGGGTCCGAGAGAGAGAGAGAGAGAGACAGAATACAGATAGAGTGAGAGAGTCTTTGTGAGATGTTCAATTTGATTGTTCGAGCAATAATCTCTTTTTTTTTTTTTTTTTTTTTTTTTTTTTTTTACAAAGCTTGGCAGATATCAGGAAAGACATGGACAGCCTTAAGTCAGCAGACTCAGAATCCAGTCCGGGCAATGCCAGAAGCTAGAATCCTGTTCCCAAAAATGGTGTGTGTGATTCTCCCAAAACTCTGTTATCTTCAAGGCTCTGACTCACTATGTAGTGCAGCTCGTTCCACAGACCTAAGGTACCCTGTAAACCCTGAGTTTCCCCTGCCCGCCTGGACTGTTCGTTAAAGCTGCATTTTATTTGCTGGAATGGTAGTGTTTTTATTCAATTTACTCTGGCCTTTCTTAAACCCATAATCTCTAACCTCTCACTCAAGTTTTCCCTTAAGTACAAACCCCAATTCCAATGAAGTTGCGACGTTGTGTAAAACGTGAATAAAAACAGAATACAGTTATTTGCAAATTCTTTTCGACCTATGTTCAATTGAGTACACTACAAAGACAAGACATTTAATATTCAAACTGATAAAATTTATTGTTTTTTGGAAATGTTCACTCATTTTGAATTTGATGCCTGCAACACGTTCAAAGCTGGGGCAGGAGCATGTTTACCACTGTGTTATATCACCTCACCTTTTAACAACGCTCAATAAGTGTTTGGGAACTGAGGACACTAATTGTAGAAGCTCCGTAGGTGGAATTCTTTAACCATTCTTGCTTGATGTACGACTTCAGTTGCTCAACAGTCCGGGTCTCTGTTGTCGTGTTTTGCGCTTCATAATGCGCCGCACATTTTCAATGAGAGACAGGTCTGGACTGCAGGCAGGCCAGTCTATTACCCACACTCTGGTACTACGAAGCCACGGTGTTGTAACGTGCAGAATGTGGCTTGGCATCGTCTTGCTGAAATAAGCAGGGACGTCCCTGAAAAAGACGTCGCTTGGATGGCAGCATATGTTGCTCCATAACCTGTATGTACCTTCCAGCATTAATTGCGCATTCATAGATGTGCAAGTTACCCATGCCATGGGCACTAACACATCTTCATACCATCACAGATGCTGGCTTTAGAACTTTGTGCTGATAACAATCTGGATGGTCCTTTTCCTCTTTAGCCCAGAGGACACAACACCCACGATTTCCAAAAACAATTTTAAATGTGGGCTCGTCAGACCACAGCACACTTTTCCACTTTGCATCAGTCCATCTCAGATGAGCTCCGGCCCAGAGAAGCCGCCAGGGTTTCTGGGTGTTGTTGATATACGGCCTTCGCTTTGCAAGGTAGAGTTTTAACTTGCACTTGTAGAAGTAGTGACGAATTGTGTTAATTGACAATGGTTTTCTGAAGTGTTCCTGAGCCCACATGCTTATATTCTTTACAGAATGATGTCGGTTTTTAATGCAGTGCCGCCTGAGGGACAGACGGTCACAGGCATTCAATGGTGGTTTTCGGCCTTGCTGGTTACATGCAGAGATTCTCTGAATCTTTTGATGGTATTATGGACTGTAGATGATGAAATCCATAAATTCCTTGCAACTGCACGTTGAGAAACGTTTGGACTATTTGCTCAGGCAGTTGTTCATAAAGCGGTGAACCTCGCCACATCCTTGCTTGTGAATGACTGAGCCTTACGGGGATGCTCTTTTATACCTAATCATGACACTCACCTGTTTCCAATTAACCTGTTCACCTGTGCAATGTTCATAACAGGTGTTTTTGAGCATTCAGCAACTTCCCCAGTCTTCTGTTGCCCCTGTCCCAGCTTTTTTGCAACGTTTTCCAGGCGTCAAATTGAAAATGAGCGAATATTTCCAAAAAACAATAAAGTTTATCAGTTTGAACATTAAATATATCTTGTCTTTGTAGTGTGCTCAATTGAATATAGTTTGAAAAGGATTTGCAAATCATTGTATTCTTTTATTCACATTTTACATAAGGTCCCAACTTCATCAGAATTGGGGTTGGTATTTTCAAAGTGAGAGAAAGCATTTTTCTCAGATTGTAGGACAACACAACACACATATTCTCCAGCTGCTGGTTGCAGCACTTTACTGAAACTCCATCACACTAATACTGAGAGAAATATTCAAACCCAGCGCGCCATGTTTCTTTGGCCACAGCATTACATCAAATGGAAAATATCTGGATCTTGTTCATCATTTTATACATATTTCCCTGTAATTTAGCAAGACTTGTTTGGGATCACTGGAAACCTCGGGATCTCCTCTGGAATTATGTTATGTTTAATGCATCTGTTTATTGTCCAAATCGGCCCATTAACACATTTAATTCATCAAAGTCAACCCACCCAACATATTTGAATTGTTAAAATAAGAAAATAAATTTGAGTCACAAAATTATTTGAATCCAAACCGGTGTTGCTTTTTCATTGCCTCGGAGTATACATTTGAGATACATTTTGAATATACATTTCAAACTGCATTTCAAATATGTAAAAACTGACTGTTTTGAATATTTTAATAAATGGTAAATGGACAGCATTTATATAGCGCTTTTCCAGTCACATGACACAAAGCACTTTACAATTATGCCTCATGTTCACCCTGATGGCAGAGGCTGCCATGCAAGGCACCAACCTGCTCATCAGGAGCAGTGCAGGGTTCAGCGTCCTGCTCACTGTACTGTAAGGGAGCCAGGAATCGAACCAGGAACCTTCTGATTCCTAGACCAGCTGCGGTACCTCCTGAGCCATGCCACCCCAATTACTCTAAAAAGAAATACTCTAAATATGTTACCAATTAATTTGAAATATATTTCTAATTTTTTTTTGGTCAGATATATTTGTAATATTTGTAAAGTATCGCAAATGTACAGTAAATCCACTTGATATGCTTTTCAGAAATGAGGCAGATCCATTTCAATTGCATTTTAGAAAAAAACAAGTCGCAGTCACAGTAAACATTGAAAGAACCTCTCCACTTAAAAATGTTTTTCTTCCTACAGTTAAATGTTTGAGCTTCACTGTTCAAAATAATGTGTGTACAGAGTTTGCTGTTTTTACATTCAGCTGTTAAAAGTGTAAAGTTTATCTGAGCTCATTAAAAATCCAATTTAATGAGGCAGGCTCACAAGCAGATCTGTGGCATCATAAATCCTTTGGAGCCAATCCTGGGTCAATATTCAACTTCAAGTGTGATGTAGAAACTTGAAGCCTCTAATGCACAAACGCTGAGAATGGACTTTTCAGTAAAGTAGAGACATCTCTAGTCAAGTATCTAAACTTGAAATGACAAACATTTGCATATTCATAGATTCAGCATTTTTAATGAGGGAGAAGGGGCAGATGTCATTTTAACCGCTTCGTGCAGAATACAAATAATGCCAATTTTTTCCTGCAATGCACAAGCCTATTTAGCCTTTATAACTCGGTATTTGTGTCAGAGAGACTGAAAAATTATTCCAGTGAAGCAAAACATCTGGAAATTCAATTACAGAATTATTTAGGAATTAAATTTTGGAATTTACAGACGCCGGCATCTATATCTGTGCAAAGAGGTTAAAGATTTTAACTAGAAAATTGAACAGAAACACATTATTAGTCAAAGAACTGTATTTTAAATGCATCTTAAAATGTCCGGAAGGATCTTTAACATTTAGGTTTATTCAAAATCTCAGCTCTCCAAGTTTTGAATTCACTGGTTGCACCTATGTCAGTGATATTATGCACTGACCTATCAGTATGCATTCATTGAAGTGCTGAATAAAGTGAAAATTAATATTCAATAGAATAAAACAATTCCAGGAAGTCATACTTAAAATGAAGTAAAGCAAACAATCATGGGAAAAACAGGCAAAAAAAAAAAAAAAGGAAAAAGGGTGAAGAATTTCTTACAGCATAGGCAACCAAGCAGAACAACATGTATTGACTCTACGTCCTCATCATGGAACAGCTGATCACCATTTAATTCTGCGGAATAATATTGCCTCAAACCAGTTTAAGCAAATTTTTTAGCAATAATAATCATAGAATGAGCCTTCAAACATGCATGCAGCCTATGCAAGAGTCAAAAAAAATTTGCGACACGTTCCAATTTTTTCAGTGTTTTTATTACCCATATTTTTACCTCGAAATACTTGTGGCAATTTTTTTTTGTCTCATTGTCTACAATACTATTTTCACTAAAACATTATAGAGAGGTCATACATTAGGACCCCTTTTAGATGAAAGTGGTGGCGTATAATCACCACACACTACTGTAAACATACAGTAGCTAATGCCGTAATGTATTTAAAATGATTTCTCGGTTGGATTTTTGTCTTTCAAATTCGAGAGAACTTTTAAGTCGCTATAATGTTAAAGGTAGAAGTTTGACTCCATGTCTTACATTTGAGAAAAAAAAAAAATGCTAACTACTCAGTTCTTGAATTAATTGACCAGAGTTTCAAACATGGCATACTAAAGGCTCTTGGATACTTTGTGCAGAACCACAGTGTTTTTTTTTTTCCTGAACATGCAACATTGTTGGATTGTTTGCTGTCATGAGGCACATCTTTATTTTTTTTTTTTTAACAAGACAAAGCAGTGAGACATTTCTGAAATGTAACAGTCAAATTCAGCTCCCAGCTCGCAAGACAAATCCTTTTCATTGGGGATTACTTCAAACTGATTTGACAGAGAGGAAATTTTCATTCATGATCAGACAGCCAGGACCTGTTTTGAAAACGGTGTGAGAGAGGCAGCAACAGCGAAGTCAAAAACAGGGCTTTGATAGTTTCCCTGGCAACAAGCCCTGGGCTGCGATAGGCTGAATGATAATTCTCAGCTGCAAAGCAAAACGAAACCTTCAGCAGCACCAAAGAGCTGGGCAATAATGAATATAAAACTGACATTACTTCAGTTATCATACCTTGGCAAAATGACTGGTTTAGGCGTTTCGATAAAGCTGGCGCGTGCTGTGCTTTTTGGCTGCTTCAATTGCTTCTTTACATGCCAGCATTGAATATTCTCCTCCATTCATGGTCATTGCTTCTTACAGTCCTAACAGCAAATTACTTTTTTTCATGCCAGGACATAAGCATGAAAATATCCAACTTTACAAGACATTTGTGACCCTCCAGTAAAAACCAGTCACACGGGTCAATTTTTCAAATATGAGTTTTTGGGCTCATATTAAATGCCCTTTCAGATGAGCCCAAAAACTCATATTTGAAAAATTGACCCATGTGACTGGTTTGGTGCTGGAGGGTCACATTTTGTTCCAATTATAGAGATAATTATTTTTGGCAACGTCACCCAGCTCGACACCAAAGAGTGATGGAAAAGCTCTCAACTCATAATGCAACCAATGAAGGCATTACCCTTTATTCATTTAAAATGGGTACATTATTCATTAATTGAAACAATATCATTACAGAATATACATTTCTCTATCACCCATTTGGACAGTAGTACTTGAAGTAAAAATAAATATATTTCCTTGCTTGCGTAGTTCTGCGTATAATAAAGGCAGAATACGGCATTATGACCTAAAAAGTCCCAGAGAATTGACCACATTGCAGGCTGTGTGTATTCAGACACTTGGATTGTCCTTTCACATTTACACAGGCCTGCAGCTCTAACACTGTGTTTGATGAGATTTTCCTTCTCTGTCAGGGAAAGGAATCCTTCCTTCTTTTCCATTTCACCCTGACTGCACCATTATGCTTCAGTAGACCATAATATTAAATCCAGAGGTAAAAAAAAAAAACAACTAATTTTCTCTTGGGGTTTCTTACTCAAAACCTGGACACAAACTTCACATCTCATTTAAAATAAATGCGAGTAAATCTCATGGCAGGATTGAATAGCATTGCTTGCCCACACACGGTTTCAGTTCTGAAACACTGCATTAAGTGCAAAATGCAATCCGTTCTGGGTGTAGAGCAAATGCTTTTGCTAACTTTGTGAACCTGTCACTCGATGGTCTTCAAGTCAGTGTGTCCCTGGAACAAACAAAATATAAATCCAGTAAGTCTAATAACAAAAAAGTAATAGTGTTCAAATCTTATTTCTATTACTTTCCGGTGAAATGTCACTTGTCAAGCAAACAGTACCTAAAGCCTGCCCCAGACGGTGCAACTTTGCCTGAGGCAAGTAACACGCGTGTATACTGCATCAGGCAATGTTGCACCGTGTGGGGATGATTTTTGCTGCGTAACTTCCTCGTGTGATGCGAAAATATCTAGCATGCTAGATACGCTGCTGCACTGTCATGTGAGGAAGTTACGCAGCAAAAACCATCCCCACACGGTGCAACATTGCCTGATGCAGTATACACGCGTGTCACTTACCTCAGGCAAAGTTGCACCGTCTGGGGCAGGCTTAAAGTGAATATTCCTTCTTGAGGTGAAAAAAAATAAAAAATAGTGGCAAAGCCACTGTGGTCGCTTGGCCAAACGTGGCCAAAATGGAACGCCCTCTATTGGCCAAAGAATCGGTCCGATTTGGCTGAAAATCGAACTTGGTCTAGACGTTATGACCACCTATACACATGTAAAATAAGAAAAGGATTGGTCAAAAACTGAAGACGCTAGAGTGCAGACAACCAAAGGTTTATGCTCACATGCACGCACAACAGACCACCACTAAAGACCCCAAGCATAGCATTCGGCGTTTTGGCCAAGTGGGCTAAAGAAAAGATTTTAAGTGCGGTGAGACTAAGGCTGCGTCTGAATAGTCAAAAAATTACAACCTATCTGCTAATTCCTAACCACTTTTCTTTAACCCTTGTGGAAAACGTCATAAGGTAAAGGAAAGGCGTAAAAGGGAATTCCTAACGGCTTAAGAAGGCCACTGCTTATCATGGCTGCCGCAAAATTATTTCCAGGTCATTTTTTTAGAGGTTAGGAACTTTCGTACGCAAAAAAAGACTATTCGAACACAGCCTAAAACCTTTGTTAAGACAGGGTATCGTGCATAGGTCCTGGTAGCCTGTGCATCCGCCTCTTTTGGTCGTATTCCACTGGCCCCTCCCTGAAAGCAGGCTCCGCCCTCTCCATCCACTCATCCACAGAGAATTCTGGGAAAAAGAAGGCGATCTCCCTCCGGGCAGAGTCCTCCGAGTCTGGGGGGTGGGGGTCCAGAGACAGCAGCGTGAGTGCAGCTAAAAAAACACTCCTATGGTCAACAGTACCCATTAAACAAGGGTTCCCATCTACATCAGTGGGTACGAGCAGCCAGTGACAAGTCTGCTGTAGAGTGGCTTCTCCACCAACAAACCTCACAGCGAGTTTTCTCCCACACCCACAGTCATGCATGTCAAGTCAGGTGTTCTTCTACTGCCCCTAATCAAGATTCTGACTTGAAAACTGGGATTGGCCCCTCGGTGCAGCACTGTGGCAGCCCATGGCTCAAAAGCATCCAGCATGGGTCAAATGGCAAGTACAGATCATCCTACAGGGGTAATAAACTGCATCTCAGCTGGGTGGGGGTCTACTGATTGTAGGATAGATGTGTATAGATTTCAAATTCATATTACTTGACATGTCAACTGGGCGTTCTTGGAGATGGAATTTCCAAGTGTTAGTACCCCACTGGAGCTCACCTGATCCGTGCGTAGTGTTCCGGGTGTCGGTCAGGCCGAAGCAGGCTCGGATGGAGCTGGGGGCGACGTAACGAGCGCGAAAAACCTTTGTGGGCCCCATCAGCATTCTCCAGTGATTCACGGCCTCTTCTCTAGCCAAGATGTAGGCCCACATCGGACCACTGCACAGAGAAAA